CTTAGATTCTAAGTACAAGATTATTTATTCTTAACAACCTAAATCACAAACTTCTATTCTCAACACTCCCCCTCAAGTTGAGAACCAAACAAATTCAAGGTTCCCAACTTGCTGAGAAGTCTCCTTTGAGTTTCCTTGCTAAGTGCTAACAACTTTAGTAAGAATATGAGCCTCCTAGTTCGAAGACCTCACATGCTGTAGCTTTATCAGGCCTTGAGTCACTTTTTCTCTCACAAAATGACAATCGATTTCGATGTGCTTGGTCCTCTCACGAAACACCGGATTTGAAGCTATGTGTATCGCTGCTTTACTGTCACAATACACATCCACCGGTTTTCTGCTGCTAATTCCCAAATCTTGCAACAATCCAAGCACCCAAACAACTTCTGAAACCGCTGAACCTAAAGCCCTATACTCTGCCTCTACTGAAGACCTTGCTACCGTGGTTTACTTCTTTGTCTTCTAGGCTATCAAGGACCCTCTTAGCTTGAGAAGATAACCAGTAACAGATCTTCTTGTGCTACCACAGGCTCCCCAATCAGAATCACAGAAGCATTCTAGATCCAATTTGCCTTCTGCGCTGAGAAAAACACCTACTCCTAGAGATTGCTTAAGGTATCTCAGTACTCCAAGAGTTGCTGCCATATGTGATTTCATCAGATTTTGCATAAATTGACTCAAGACCTGTACAGGAAAAGAAATATCAGGTCGTGTAACGGTTAAATATATCAATTTACCCACTAACTGTCTATATCTTTCTGGGTTCTTCATCAAATCACTTTGTTTATTCTTTCCTTCCTCATAGGCCAACAACTTTAAATTCTGCAACATAGGTAAGGACAATGGCTTACACCCACTCATCCCTGTTTCAGCAAGCAAATCAAGGACATATTTCCTTTGACTTAATACTACACCCTTACTGGATTTAGCAATTTCAATTCCCAAGAAGTACTTCATCAAACCCAAGTCCTTGATTCTGAAATTTCTGTGCAGATAGTCTTTGACTTCCTCAATTTGCTTTTCTGTACTACTTGTAATAAGGAGATCATCCACATATACCAGTACAAACATAGACCCATCATGATAATTCTTATAATACAAAGAATAATCATGTTTACTCTGATTAAATCCTCCACTTACCAAGGCCCTAGACAGTTTCTGATTCCACTGTCTAGAGGCCTGTTTTAATCCATACAATGATTTCTTGAGTTTACATACCATATTCTCCCCCTTATTACCAAAACCTTGGGGTATAGTCATGTAAACCTCTTCATCAAGATCATCTTGCAGAAAAGCATTGTGCACATCCATCTGATAAAGATTCCAATTATTTACAGCTGCCATTTTCATTACTATTTGGACTGAAATCATTTTTACCACAGGAGAAAATGTCTCATGAAAATCTATTCCTTCCCTTTGGGTATACCCCTTTGCTACAAGTCTAGCCTTATACTTGTCTATTGTTCCATTTGGCTTATACTTCACTTTGTACACCCATTTACACCCTATTGTTTGCTTTCCTCTTGGCAATTTTACTAGTTCCCAAGTCTTATTATGTTCTAAGGCCTCTATTTCCTCTTTCAGTGCTTTGACCCAATTAACATCCTTTACTGCCTCTTTATATGATTGTGGTTCACTAACAGAGTCAATAGAACATAAGAAGCACAAGTAAGAGGAAGAAATATTTTCAATAGACATATATTTCTCTATAGGGTATCTACATTTACCTTTTCCTGTCTGATTGTTATTCGGTCCAGTGCTCACCAAACTGCAAACATAATCTTGTGCTCAGATTGGTGGTCGTCTGTCCCTGGTTGGTCTAGTGGAAGGCTGTGCAGCATGATTCTGGTTTTGTAACTCAACAGAAGTACTTGTATTGTCCTCTACGCATACATCATTATCTCTTTGTTGATTATATTCAGTTCTAGATTCATTCTCTTTATTAATTTCTAATGTTATTTGAATATCTTCAGGACCAAACATGAACATTTCCCTAAAATCCTTACTGACTCCCCTTTGATTCATACTCATAGTATCTTTGAAAGGAAACTTGTTTTCTATGAAGCTAACATGCCTACTTACAAAAATAGCTCTATTGTGTAAATTAAGTAATACAAAACCCTTTTGATTGTTGGGATATCCCAAGAAGACACAAGGTAAAGATCTGGGCTTAAATTTATTCAGATTAACTAAATCAGTAGCATAGGCTAAACAACCAAAAGCTCTCAGATTGGTATAATCAGCAACCTTTCCATACACAATTTCATAAGGAGTCTGAAATTTCAGAATTTTAGAAGGTAATCTGTTGATAAGGAAACAAGCCATTTTAACACATTCTCCCTAATAATTAATTGGCACCCCAGATTGTATTATCAACCCTCTAGCAACCTGTATTAAGGTCCTATGTTTCCTTTCTACTATTCCATTCTGTTCAGGGGTATATGGACAAGAAGTTTCATGCACAATCCCTTTTTCTCTAAGAAAGCATTTCAAATCATTATTAATAAATTCAGTGCCATTTTCACTTCGGATTCTCTTAACAGAAACAGAAAATTGAGTGGAAACATGAGCAACAAAGTTCTTTATATGCATGACAGTTTCTGTCTTATGTTTCATCAGAAAAATCCACGTTGCTCTCGAGAAATCATCAACTACAGTAAGGAAATACCGATGCCCTGAATGTGTGGGTGTTCTATAAGGCCCCCACACATCCATATGAATCAATTCAAAGCAACTATTTGTCTTAATAAAACTGAGGGAAAAGGGAATTCTAGTCTGTTTAGCTTGTATGCAAATCTCACAAGTTTTATTCATAGCAATATCCTTGTCCTTTACAACATGTAAATGTCTCATGACAGAGATAGGGGCATGCCCAAGTCTATGATGCAACAACCAAATATCATCTGAATCGAAATGAACTTTCTTATGTTTATCAACAAAATTCACATGCTCATGATCCTCATTCAGTTTCAACAGGTACAATCCTTCCACAACTTTACCAGTCCCCATCATTCTGCCACCCTGAAGGGCCTGTATAATGCAATAATTAGGAAAAAATGCAGCCATGCAACATGCTTTCCTAGTTAGTCTAGAGACAGATATGAGATTAAATTTCAGCTCAGGAGCATACAAAACTTTTAATAACTCAATATCATTCGAAAATTTAACTTCTCCTACATGAGTTACAGGAACACGCTGTCCATTAGGTATCTTAATAGATTTTATGGGTCCTATATATTCCTTATAGCTATTCAACAGTGATAAATCTCCCACCATATGAGTAGTTGCACCAGAATCAATAACCCAATGAGTATAGGCATTCTTATATAAAACAGAAGTTGTCAAACCTGTACCGGTGAGTGCGTGAACTGTCCCAGATTCAGACTCCTTCTTGAGTAGCTCAAGTAGTTTCTCGTACTGCTCCAATGTGAAGCTCGGAGATACCGTGTTCGCAGAGTGTGTTATTGTCTCAGGTTGTTGTCCTACCTTGACCCCGGTTTGATTTATACTCACTTCTTGGTTGCCTTTACTCCTATTTCCCTTGAATTCCGCAGGGTACCCCACTAATTGGAAACAATTGTCCTTGGTGTGTCCCTTCTTGCGACAGTGAGAGCATTCCACTGGTGAAGATCCTCCGCCACGCCCTCGGCCGCGACCTCTCCCCTTTCCGAGCATTGCCACTCCTTCAATCGGTTGCATTGCAGTGGAATTAGCAATGTGCCTTTGTGATTCATCTTCAAGGATCATCGCGTATGCTTGGTTAACGGAGGGGAGAGGAGTCATGAGGAGGATCTGACCACGTGCCGGACTGAACGACTCATTCAGTCCCATGAGAAATTGCAACAATCTTTGTTGCTGGATCATCTGGGTATATGCCTTCGAGGTCTCGCACTTGCAGGTTGGTACAGAAATCAACACCGCCTGCTCTTCCCAGAGTTGCTTGAGGCGAGTATAATATCCCGAAACAGACAACGCGCCTTGACGAAGGGAATGAATTTCCCGGTGAATGTCGAAAATTCTCGAGCCGGTGACTTTATCGAACCTTTCTTTAAGATCGATTCACGCCTCTTGCGCTCCTTGAAAATACACCATACTGCTCGCCAATTCCTTCAAAATGGAATTTAAAATCCACGAAAGAACCACTGCATTACACCTTTCCCATTGATCATGGAGGTGTGGTTCTTGCGATTCTTTCGTACACGTTCCATCGATGAAACCCAGTTTCTGCTTCCCTCTCAACGCGATCGTCATTCCTCTACTCCAAACTGTATAATTCTCAATCCCGGTGAGAATTTGTTGAATAATTGTGGCTCCCTGAGTATCTGACGGATGTAGGTACAGGGGGTGATTGAAGGAGAGGCTTGCCGCGGAGATATCATCGGAGGATGTTTTCTTGTCCGCCATTGTGGTTGAAAAACACTACGTCGTGGATGGGTTTCTCGTGTGAAAGTGGAAGAGAATCTTGATTCTCCGATCAAGCTTCCGTGGAGAACCCTAAACGAATTGGGCCAGGCACCTCCGTCGGACCTGATGCTCTGATACCATGTAAAACGTGGGCCTGAGAATTATCACTGTATTATTATTCAGATTATTCTCTCACAATGTATTACATCAAACCCCTTTTTTATCCTATACGAACTGGGCCTTACAAGAAATAAGGCCCAAGACAAATAATTAAGTCCAAACAGAAACTTAGATTCTAAGTACAAGATTATTTATTCCTAACAACCTAAATTACAAACTTCTATTCTCAACAGTAAGAATGACCTAATAAATCAGATACCGATATTCTGCTGTGTGTATAAGATTTGCAGAGTACCGACACATTCTGAATATAAAATTTACCATGCCCTTCTCTCTAATAAAATTTCTAATGGGAACTTTTCTCTCCAATAAAATTTGTATTGTGAGCATATATATATATTTTTCAAAACCGTTAGATTGATCATGTGCATATGGCTACTACATCGCATATTTTAGCGAAGATGATCTAAGTTGCATCAGATCGCAAACTTACCATTTTCTGGTTGTTGGATAACGTACAATTGCTCCGAATTCCCCGATGGATTTGGTCGAAACTCTGCTTCTTGGTGATATTGAACACAACGCAACGTGTCCATCTTCTGATATGCCAGACATTCGCAATCATCCCAGCAACTAACTCTACAATCAGCTGGACCAATCCGTTGAAGATCACCATCAATGGAGTTTCCATTACTTTTGTTCATAAAGTACCCAGACAACAACTGAAACGTCGTATTGTAACTCCTACACTGTGGTTGTTCCCATTCTGCACATCCCTCGTCGTCCTTTGTCTTGTACCCATAACAATATTCCTGTAATTGGACTCCGTTGTTCTCAAAAGAAAAGCGACCTTTGTAATCTATGATCCAATCTATGCTTTTATGAACCACAGTATCCAAACGGTCATCTTTCAACGTATAGTTGAAGAACTCTTCATTTGGAGTTCTCGTGTACATCATCTTATAAGAGTGCGTCTGATGGCGGGCTGGTCCTCTGTTCCCAAAGGTCATTCCACCATCAGGATCACTGAGATTTTTCAAGGCCCCACTAGTCCAGAACACAGCCCCTCTACGTCGAAGAACCAACTCTAAGCCATGAGGGTCCCATTCGAGTGTAAAAGCTCCTGGAGATGGGTCGTTAGAAGCCGGCCATGATGTGAGAGTCCAATTCCTTCCTGTTCTGTGATTGACGCCTAGTTTCATGCCAGGCAAAAGAGTGTCAGTGGGACAATCAAAGCTCTGCCACAAGGTCCGACCGACAGATCCATCGGAATTCACTTCAGTCAGTACGAGATTTCCATTGTCCAGCAAAACAGCTCTTGTGTTGGTGGTGTTGTCGGTCGTGGTTTCACCAGGGCATAGTTGAATTGGGTGGCCATGAGTTCGATTGATCACAAACTTTGCAGTTTTGTCGATGAAGAGAGTTGCATCAGATCCATTAGTGATTGGGGTGTCTCTATTGGCGATCCAAACTGGAGATGAAGGTGACCTGTACTTGGAATTCCAGATGGCTAAGTAAGTGTTGTTGATATAGGTGACAGGTTTGATGAATCCTAAGGTGAAGTTCTTGTTGTTGGAAACCAAACGGCCTGTGAAGTTGAGTGTGTCTGATTGATTCAGGGTGTTGGTTTCTGCAATCACACTCATACTTCTACACAGTAACATGCAAGATACGATTATTCGAAGGATGAGAAAGTGAAGATACATGAATGAGTTTTCCAGGCCGCCCATTTTTTGTTTCTATGATCCGACAGCAATCAGGACAGGATTCTCAACTTTGGTTGTCGTTTATTTCTTTGAAAATTTTATGAAAGCTCTACTAAGTAATGATGAATGAACAGACAGAAATGCTCTTATAGCTCACAAATTATTAACTTGGATTAGCTATTTCTTTTTCTTCACTCTAAATATCATGGTTTTGGTCAACAAAATCTAAATATTTAATCAGCCCACTGATGAATGTGTCAAAAGCTCATGGCATATAATAACGTGAAAATGTCATGTTTAGCCGTACGTATGACGTTATCGGTGGATATAAAATGTGGGGATGACGGTGTGAGGGATAGAGGACCCATTTGACCAAAATAATTAATAGCCTCTCATTTTTGAATCGGTATAAATTCTTCATCACATTGACCAAATCCAAGGTCAACTTCTTATCTCTTGCCGACTCATCACTATTCCGAATGAGACGCCAAACGAAGAACTTGTTCAACTTTTGATATGTATAAATAAATTTTATTTAAAAAATAATCATGTAGAGAAGTTCCTGTTATCATATTATAAATTTATTAATTTTATAAAGTGTCAATTTTCTTAAACAAAATTACAAAACTGCCAACTAAAAAAAAATCTTTCAAACAATATATATAAAGAGACATGTATATATATGAGGGATAAGGTGATCGCTACAATTATGTTCATATGATTCTTAAATTATTTGTAATAGTGTTCATATGTTAGACTAAAATGTAGGATGAAATGAAAGAGATGTCTAATTGTCATTCCATTCACAGTAGATATAGACACAATGTAGATTAATTGGAGACGGCGAGGACGACTTCCACGCAGCAAGCACAGATTGGACAAGGGAAGAGGGATGGAAGCTAGACGGCAAGTACAGATCGATGGCGAGCACAGATCAGACCTTAGCCTTGGACGGCATGAGAAGCACAGAATATAATGAGGGTGATGAAGAGAGAGAGATTACATTCTCTTCTGGTCAGCAATAATTGTCTTAATAGTCCTATCAATAATCCTATTAAACATGACTTCAAAAGTCATAAACAGGAATCAAGCAGCTTCTCTAATCGTAGAATTCGAGTCAGCTTTTGGCTCATATGACCAAAAGCTGATCCAAACATCACGTATAACATGACAAACGTGTTTATGGGCTTATAAGCTGCTTTAAGTTGTTCCAATAATGGATCCAAACAGAGCCTTAATGGAGGCATACCGTCTAAAGTTGTAAATGCCAAGTTTCTTTAGTATGAGGATGGCGTCTTCATTTGTGATCATGCATGAAAAATCACTTCTGATATAGTTGGTCTATCTTCCGGACATTCTTCGACCCAAAAAAGCCCTACTTTAAGAAATCTAAGAAATTGTTAAGTGGAACATGAGGAATAATATTATACTACTTTTGGCCCTTAATATAAGAGCTAATTTGCCTTTTAATTTAGTTCTAAATATAAGATCCCAATTCACTTTGTTTATTATATTTATCTATTTTTTTAAAATAGCCTTCGTTGTAGTTGTACGTCTTAAATATTTCATCAAATGGTACTATAATTCTAGCTAATACACATAACTAGTAAGAGTATTTTAAGAAAGACAAAACCTGTTTACTACAAATAATTAACTCAACAAATTTTTTTAATATACTCAAATCAATCAACTAGCTATTATATTAAAGATCAGAGATAGTAGTATATACAGGTGGTGTATATTATTAATATAGAAAGGCTGTTTGGAGGCCACTGTACTGGATACATATGTATATACTCTTCTGGTCCTAAATATAAGATCCTTATACATCCTAAATATAAGACCCTTATACACACTAATATAAGGGTCTTATATTTGGGACTGGAGTAGTATTTAGAAAAGAAGAAGCTAAGTCATACCCAAGACTCAACACAAGTTCATCGTTAATTGCAGACATGTATTCGTCGTTTTCCAAAGTTTGGGTTATGATACTTTCGAATTCTAATTATAAAAATTAGTAGGAAGTTTATTTTTATAGTAAATATAAAATCTCAATTTATTTTCTGTTTCAAAGTTATAATTTTTCTCCTTAATCTATCTCCATTGATTAGCCAAACAGAGTTTCCGTGTATCAATGAGGGTATAGAGTTATTTTAATGTAAATGATTATAGTGGGATATTTTAAAAAAATTAACACATATTCTTTGAATAACGTAATTTATGTAATTTGTTATTTAGCTAATTATAATTTGCTACAAAACTTTAATTTAGTTATAACAGATGTTCCTCTTAGAGAGCTCAATGCCCTTTTGTAACAGTGATCGTATAGAAGGTACTTCCATACAAACTATGTTGATGTAAGTTTTTATCTTTCTGTGTTTGTAGGTGGAAGATATGCAATAGGCATATATTAGTATGACTAATGAAAAAAAATAACTGAATACAGACATTATATTAAGTGCCTAAGCTCTCTTATACCATAAATTTAGTGATCCTTTAATTATCTTCACTAATTTCTTTATCATAAAACTTGGTTAGCATAGTTACTGAGAAGAATAATGAGTGAAAAAGAATTAGTTTAGTTTCTTGTACATTTAAACATTCACAACAATCTTCCAAGTGCTTTTTATTTAAGATAGAAGAAAATATAAATTCCTTCAGCAACTATCATGTACTATTCTCTTTTTAAATGCATTTTCTATATTGGTTATGTGAGTTGGGAGGATTTCAAAGGTATATTCAAAAAGCGAGTTTTATTAGAAGTTGCAAATATGTCGCAACAACTTTTACCTCAAAATTTCCCGAAATTTGGAGGAATTCCAAACTTTCTCAAAAGAAAAGTAAGAAAAAAACTAATTTACATGTACACTTGTGCTTTCCTTTAATTTTTAATTTAGTATTAATATATTTTTCTTTCGTAATTAAATTTTTTTTAACTTTGTTCTGTTTGTATCGTTAACTCTATAGATCAAGAGCTAATGATGTTAATTTTTAAGAGAGCAAAGTTAAAAAAATTTAATTAAGAGAAAACAATACAAAGATATCAAATTTAATTTTTTTTAAAAGATAGATATATGTAAAATGACTTTTTCAAAAAGTAATAATGGAAGTCGGAAATATTGTTAATAGTGCAGTTTGTTGATAGTTTGTACTTCTTCCTTTGGGACCTAAATTATTAGTTATTAGATGAATTTATTTTGATTCTAAATACTCTCTCTGGTTTTTAATACACGAGTTAGTTGACTAATTTGAGTAGATTATAAAAATTAATTAAATTAATTATTTGTAATAAATAAATATTATTGATGAAATATTTAATATGTGTAACTACTATAAGGATTGTCTTAAAAAAATAAATAAATATGAGAGACGAAATTAATTAAAATCTTATATTTAATACCAAATTGAAGGTCAAATTAGCTCTTATATTAAGAATATAAGATAATATAATATATCAATTTATTTTGTTTTTAAAATTTTTAATTCGTCCCAAACTCTCCTTGTTAATTGTAGGTGTTAACAGGGTTTTCTATCGGGAAAGTAATTTCTAATACAAATGATTAAAAGAGATACCCTAAAAATAGTATATATTTGTAACAAATAATTAATTTAACTAATTTTTAATTTTTGTTTTTTAGGTATTTAGCTCTCATTCGAGGGGGAAAAAAATCAAGCCACCATAATGACTCGTCACCGGCCGTATTTCTCTTACTTTAGTTGTAAATGTTTGAATTTCTTTTGTGAATTGCTTTATCTTGGTTTTTAATTTCTATATTTCTAACTCCTTAATTTATTGTGAATTACTCCAGTTGTAAACGGCCTTATTTTTCTTGTGCATCCTCTTATTTTGGTTGTAAATTGTTGTTTTCCACTTGTGATTTTTAACTTCCTAACATATTGTGAATGCTAGTTCTACCTATAGATGGTCTTACTCTAATTATAAATGGTCTTATTTTTCTTATGAATTTTCTTATCTTAATTGTAAATTTGTGTATTTCACTTGTAAATTCTAACTTTTTAACTTATTACGAATTACTTTAGTTGTAAATGACCATATTTTTCTTATAAATTTTCTTATCTTGATTGTAAATTCTCATATTCCACTTGTAAATTAGCTTCTCTTATTGCTATCTTTGTAAGGCTCCTGTTGTCTTTTCACTCTAAGAACTGATTTCACTTTCGGAATTATCTGGGGGCATTGTGAAATAAAGGTCCTATATGGGGACCTAAATGAGATTTTCCCAAAACATTAAAAAATTCCCCACTGCCCTGAAGGCGGTTCTTGGCTTTCGAAGTGTACAAGTCGCCCCTGCAAATTCGAGCATGAAAGAATAACGAACTTCTTTTATTCCTCTCCTATCAATGGCGACGACTGTAAGCAATAACTTGGACAGCAATGAGCCAGAATTCGCGGGCTGTCGTTGGTATTCACCAGAAACAGGAATTTACACTAGCAAACACTCTCCGGTGGAGCTTCCTTCAGACCCATTTCTCGATGTTGTTTCTTATATTTTTTCTCACCAACACAATGGAGTTTCAGCTCTCATAGATTCTTCATCTGGATGTTCAATTTCTTACTCGGAATTGTTTTCTTTGGTGAAATCCATGGCATGTGGTCTCCAAAAAATGGGTGTTTCAAAAGGTGACGTTGTTCTACTTCTAATTCCTAATTCCATTTACTATCCCATTGTTTTCTTGGGTGTTTTGTATCTTGGCGGAATTGTCACACCGTTGAATCCTCTAAGTCACATTTCAGAAATCCGTAAGCAATTATCTGAATGTGGTGTGAGTCTGGCTTTTACTCTACAAGAGAAAGTTCGAAAACTACAATCGTTGGCCATTCCAGTTATTGAGGTTCCCGGAAATCTGAAGGACTTGAAATACTCCGATTACCCAGTTTTTTATAATCTTGTTTCGGGTAAGTCGGATTTGCTTCCGAG